GAGAGAGAGAGAGATTCTATGGTCCATCACATTATAATATTACTTCTCCACATGAAAATTTGAAGTCCAAACGAGCTTTTATCATTGAAATCTGATATTTGAAGCAAGAAATGGCCCAAAGAACATGAATTATAAGAACCTCTTGTAGGGGAAGCCTCTGATCATCCTCAACCTTAGGAGGACCCAGTCGAAGCCTGTAGTCTCTTGCCAAGTCAGATATGAATCTGAGCTTATCATCTTCTGATATCGTCGTAGTGCACAGTTTCTCACATATCTGCATGGTAAGGAGAAAGCAGATAGTCACGGCAACTATTGTGCTCTATAAAAATAGTTCAAGCATCAGTGTTATGGTGAGATTTCCTGAAAGCTTCAAATTTCTTCCCCTTTTGTCGGTAAATAACTAAATGACCATATGTTCTATTTAACCTACCAAAAAGTGTGAAACTTTTTGCCCTATTGTACTTTTTGATGGGACTATAACAAGATTAAAGGTTCAGAAATTTGAATCAGAGGAAGGAGGCGAAAGAACATGAAAATGAAGAACAAAGTGATGAAAATTGGGGACATGGGAGGATGCTCTAGAGAGATATTCAGGGTCCTGAATTCCTAACTTTACTTTTTGGGGTTGGGGGCTATTTTGCAAGGTAATGATGCCTTAGTTTTGGTTGCAAAAGGGAATTGGAACCATAATCGGCCTGTTATCTGTTGTTTACTTGGTGGGAAGGAGAGTACAATATCCATCAGTGCCAGGTTGAACTGCCCAGGACAAAGCAATTTTAGGGTATATTGGGGACAGAATGACCGAGGGATTCAAATTGTACAGGAACAGGGCTAATTTGTACAGGAATGTACTAATTTTACAGGACCATTAGCATTGGTATGAATTAGTATAAGTAGAACAATGGACTGATTCTCTTGACACTATCTATGAACAAGTTCAGTGAGCCACTAAACAACATTGAGCTATTAGAGCTTGTTTTCATGGAGAAGATTTACCTGGTCTAAGACTCGAGAGAAGACTAGGAAAATATGATCTAGAGTTTATACTCCCTTGTTGATCAAGAAGTGACTTCCTTAGACCAAGAAATCAAAATAAATAACACCGTGATACGACCTGCCCTTGATCGTTGTTCTCCAACTAATTTATCTATGCTCATATCTAGAAAATCGGTATCTAACGCAAATTCGAGACCATGAAGCAAGCAAATTTTATGATGGTGGTATCCAATACTTGAATGACACAGGCAACATCTTTGTCATACTCGACTTTATCACCGATATCAAAAATTATTCTCTCCCCCTGATAGTTTTGCCCCATAAGCCCATAACAGTTTCTGTTCAAGATAGTATCTAAGTTGTTGGCTAGATGATTGTGGTTTCTATGACCGTAAAATTGTCTTGCTGGAGCATGAGACCTTTGGCCCCAGGTAGGTTGATCACGGTTACTACCTAGATAAATCATAAACTAGTTAAGTACACCTGGATGGCAACTTAATGAAGTAATATTCAAAATTGATATGTCAAAAGGCTATAATCTTATAATTGTCTAGAGTGGGGACTCAAAGTTCAAAAGATCTGTGCCATATGTTAAAGCCTAATCAAAGGTTGTATATCGATCTCTTATTTCTTAATCCTGATCAATGGTGTGGCATATGGTTTCTTCTAGGCCTCTATTGTGAAGGGGTAGCTTTAGTATACTGGTGGCCATGCCTCTCCTTGTGCATGTAATTCCACTCCAAATAGCAAACACAAAATAATGAAAGACATTATAAATCCTGAAGAAACTGCAGATTGATGCACTGGAGTGAAACCTGACGATTCACAAGGCTACCAGGAAACAATTCCACAGCTGCCACTGCAAACTGATGGCCATAGCGCTCTCCAAATAATCGCCGCAAAGGTTGCAACTCAGGAAGGTCTGCACATCTTGCAGCTGCAAATATAAGGCTCGAAACTGCTTCATTTATGTCATTGGGACAATCCCTGAAACCCAAATTGCAATGTAAATTTATTTGCTCATGACATATGGTCCAAATGATAAAACAGATGTGGAGTTATTGAAAAATCCAAAACCATTTATTTTGAACCCAGTGGTTGTAGGGAATCCATTTCATGAGTTAGATATGTTGTTTGAGGCATAGTAGAGGAGTGGATGAATTGAAATCCATAAATGGATGTAAATTGTACTTGTGCTTGCGGATGTATGGAATTTGGCTGAGGATGAATTCACAATAGGTATAAAGTAAATCATATGCAATCAAGATGTCTTGGTCCTTCAAGAGTTGCTCAACCTGCATCGAAGAAAATGACGAGCATTACATGCAATACAGGCAACAAGAACAAAGAAAAAAGTAAAACAAATGGATGGTTGTAATTATTAGAACAATTGAGAATCGCAAGAAAGTGTTATGGGAATGCATTAAAAACAAAAACTTCAATATGATTCAAATGAGCAACAGGAAGAAATTCGACACATTACGCATTTCGTAAGCATATAGCAATCCTTCAATTCATTCTCTGGAGGTTTGTGCAATTTGCCTTACAATGTTTGGAAGTTGCAAGTATTCAAGTAGAACTACGCAATGAAATCAAATTTTAACTGCTGTAAGTTAAATTACTCAATGAAACACATCAGTTTTCTTCCAAATTTTAACTGTTAACCATTAAGGCTAAAATTGGTGAATGCTTCACAATTTTCCCTTGTCTTGATACATTTTATTCTTCATTCTGTTATTAAATTTGTCACAAAGACACTAGTACTTGTCCAGGGAGTAGGGTTAGGAAGGAATTAGAGTGGTTGTTCTAGAGAGAGAATACACGAGCAAATGCACTTTGCTGATGACCACCCATTAGAAGGCAGACCACATCGCCCTTGAGTTGTTTAATAGCATGATCTCTCTTGTTTTTTAGCAGTTGGAGACGGCATTGGAGCTGCACAATTAGGATATTGCTGCGTCAAGAGAAACAAATATTGGGTTCAGGAACTCTTGGTAGCTTAGCATTGATAAATTATATTCAAAATCCAAAGGAAATTCATGGTTGATTACCATGTGGTGGCCTTCGGCCAGCCGAATAGCGACTGTCGTATGGCTAAACATATTTTGAGCTTCATCAAACTCTAGAGAGAGAGAGTTTGAGAGAAAGAGAGAGAGTTTGACAGAAAGAGGAGGTTCGGATGAAGAAATGGGAGGATTTGGAGGAATTAGGCCATTGTTGTCAAGTGGGTGCTGCTCGAGAAAAGGGGGAAAGTTCATGTTGACCTAACTGCTACTTCCTACCAAAACCGCTTCTCAATTCAAATTATTTTAGGTGGAATGGGTGGGGAGACTGGAGACGTGGGCTCAAAGACCTGGTCTTCCCACTTTCAAAAGCTCTCTCTCTCTCTCTCTTCCCCCACTTCAATACTTTGATTCAGTTCAGTCCCTCTCTTCATTCTGAATTTCGACCACGTAAAGGGAAAATAACACCTGCGCCGCGCCTCTCTCTCTAGCGGATCCCTTTGGTTCGTTCAGTCTCTTTCCTATTGTGACTTTCAACTTTGGAAAGTGAAAAATAACGCAAGCCCGCATCTATTTTACCAATTTTTCATTTTTTTTCTTTACACTTCTAGACTTTTGATAATTAATTTTAATTGGAATATACTATTTTATCTGAGATTAATAAAAGAAAACCACACAAATATATTGCAGGAAAACATACAAGAAATTATATAAAAAGGATACAAAATCGTAACTAAAAACAAAGATTAATGCAAAAAAATGCTCAGAATTCAACGAATTCGTCTAACCTCTCTGAGCACACAGGAGAAAGGTCAAAAGGCAAAGTAGTGGACCGATAAAAAAATAAAAAGGTAAAAGATCGAAGATAGAGAGTGTGAGTATATTAAAACAAAGGAGAGAGAGAGAGAGGGGTGATACACGGGCGAGAGCACTGTTTTGGTCACCGTCTTCAAGAAGCTGAGCAACGTCACGGCGTTGCTGCTTCACCACTTGAGCCCGCTTGTTTCTGACCACTTTCAGACGACGCTGCACCTGCCTTATCAGGCTTTTGCTGCCAGAAAGAACCCTACTTCAATGAGAGAGAGAGACTAATGAAGTACAGAATACAGTGAAAGTAACTGATAAATTCCAGAGCAACAGTAGTTTCTAATAAATCCATTCTAATGGATCAAAGAGAGAACAAATTCCATCAAGTAGAGAGAGAAAGCAACAGTAGTTAATAATAAATTCATTCTAGTGGATCAAAGAGAGAGAAAATTCCATCAAGTAGAGAGAGAGAGCGCAACAGTAGACACTTGTAAATTCATTCTAATAGAACAGAGAGAGAGAGAGCGCAACAGCAGATACTTATAAATTCATTCTAATAGAACAGAGAGAGAGAGAGAGAGAGAGAGAGAGAGGACTACACAGCCTAATTTGTAATAAATTCAATGAAATCGCTCAGAAATAGAGAAGAATGCAGAGTAGCTGATAACTTTAATCCGATAAAGATAGAAAAAAAACACATATCAACTTAAAAATTCAATCAAATCGATCAGAGCGACCAGAGAGGAAAGAACACTAACTGATAAAGCTACAAAGACTACTTCAATGACATCGCTCAGAAATAGAGAGGGAAGCAGAGTAGCCGATAATTCAATCCGATAAAGTGAGAAAGAAACACATATTAACTCAAAAATTCAGTCAAATCGATCATTGAGACAGATATAGGAACAAAGAGACTGATAAATTGCATTCATGAGACAGAGAGTTAACAATACAAAAATAACAGATAAATTCCGGAAATCAGACAGAGAAGCATAAGTAACTGATAAACTCTGTTGATTAGAAAAACCAAAGAATTCCAAGGAACCAGTCGAATTTAAACAAAACAGAGATCAAATTACCATTTTGAAGCCTTTCGCCAACCAAACAGAACCTCGAGCATGGCTACCCCAACCCGTGCTCACTCCCTCTCAGTCTCAGCTCCACCATCGCAGCAAATCAACAAATATATCTCCTCCATAGCTACAGAACCAGTAACAAGAATCAACACCATCTCCTAAAATCTAAATACTACATGCCCCTCTCTCTCACCGTAACTGAAATTTGGATCGCAGAGGCACCGTCCAAATCGGATCCTAAGATATAAAGGCGCGCGAGCGCAAACTAGAAACTTCAAAATTTCAACCCCGGCAGCAAGTGAGAGCAACGAACCGCACTTGGCGGGACCGTTAAAAACGAGGTGCAGGGGTTCGTTACAGTTGGGTGAGCGCTTAGAGAGAGAAAGCACCTAGAGAGAGAGAGGGGGCGGCCGTCGTCAAGTGGGGGACACGAAGGGCCCGAGCGGTGCAGAGGCGCGTGCCAAGCCCTCGGCACGCCCTTGTCCGCCGTGGGCAGTGGCGGTCGGCCTTCTGTGGAAGAAGTGGAAGCGTAAAGGCGCACGTTACAAGTGTAGAGAGAGAGAGAGAGGGAGGGAGAGAAAGAGGAGAGAGAGAGCAAGAGAAGAAGCCCATGGGCAGTCATTATATCAATCCCGTTTGGCGACTTTTTATTGCTTTCTGTGCACCCAGGTCTGGGTGGCTGGGCCCAGGGTCCGGCAGCTGTGCCATTCTGGCAGAGACGGATAGAGAGAGCACCTGGGTTTATGGATTGAGATCGCTTTATGCTTAGCTTAAAGGAGACGCCAGAGAAGGTTCTCTGCGTGGTGGGGTGGCAAATGGAGAGGAGGCACGAGGGAGTTTGTGGGTCAGGGGGTTGGTTTGGACCTTGAACCGTGGGTGGTCTGAGATGAGAGGGGTGGGTGGAACGAACCACGACCTGGGTTCGATCGCAGGGAGTTTTTTATTGCCAAAGGGTTGATTCCCACGATGAGAGGGATGGGGTGGCCCTATTAGTGTTATCTGGTTGTTTTCTGCGACGGGGTGTGATCTAATGATTGTTGATCGATTATAAGGCTATTTGAAATTGTTTTAACTTTGAGGGCACTAACCGGTTTGCGCAAGGTTTCAGCCTTAAACAATTAAAGGCAATGCGCACCTCTTAAATCTAGGTTAAGATACAATTTGTTAAAAATTCTTAGGATGATTCAAGAATCTATTTTTATCTCTAGTTATAAGGCTTTAAACTCTAAAAATAGTTCAAATCAAGTTGATCTTTAAACACGTGAAAATTTTGAAAATAGATGGTCCAGATAATATGTTGTAAGATCCATTATTTTGGGGTTCGATTTTTTTTTTTTTTACACATGCATATGATATTGAGATGATCAATTAGAGGTTTCCCAGCATCAAAACCACCTTTCCCTTGGATTTTTGAGTTGAGCCTTAATTTTAAGATTTAAGGTTGTAACTTTATATAAAACTTTGTAAAGGAAATTGAAGGGGATTTGAAAATAGAAAATGTCAAAATTAACTAGATTTGAGGAAACATGCGACAATGATGAATGGAACATCCACATCCATCTTCATAATGGAATACATGGATGCCATCATGGCACACTTCTATTAGTTAAACCAATGTTAAAAACCTCGATATGTGGGCCGGATCTAAATCGGTGATCCAAACAAATCTTATTAAAAATAGGTAAAACAAATAAAAAATTAAGATAAGAGTTTATAGGGTGTGGGTATAGAGATGGCATAAGAGAATATTAAGGGATTGTATGCAAAGAGATTATTTACTTTTGATACATAGTGGTCACAATTCTTTACAACCATTTGATGTGAAATTTGATATCTTGGATGTGTCACAAAGCTCGAGAAAATTTCTTTTGAAGTTTGAGCTTTGTCAATGGAATGATTGTTGCCATCCAATTTCACATCCAATGATCAAGAAAAATCATATAAAGTGGGGGTTTCAAAAGGAACCGGGCCGGAACCCACACCATTTCCAAACGATTTAGTCTTGATTGATTTCCATCAAGATCAAAGATCCTTATCGAAAATCGATCGGTTTTAAAACACCAATGTGTAGTATTGTACCATTTCGATATTTACTATTAAAGAAAGGGATGCCCAAGAAGGCAAAGTTATTATCGTTTGGCACCTCATCCTTTTTTATGGGATTGTATACAATGAGACAATATATCTTTTATACAAGATGGTCACAATTCCGTGCAACCATTTGATGTGAAATTTGATAGCTTGAATGTGTCATAAAGTTCGAAAAAATTTCTTTTGAAATTTGAGCTAGATCGATAGAATAATTGTAGCCACCTAAATTTACATCCAATGCCAATATTATTGTGACCACCTTCTATAAAAGGTAAATTGTCTTATTTTATACTTTTCCTTTTATTTATTTTTTTAAACTTCATCGTTGTTTGACAACTTCTCCCATTCATACATATTTTTTAATGACTAATCACAAGCGACAAAAAGTCCAATTAATACAGAGAAAAAGGGTTTCTATTAGGGTTGGGTTAGTTTTTTCAAAGCGAATGTTGTTCATGAACATTCTTAGTTATTTACTGAAGCCTTTACTCAACCACTGGCACACACACATCTCTCGTGGATGAGAGAGAGAGAGGAAAAAGTGTAATGGTGAAGCACAAGTAACGAGTTACCAGCCACGGGACAAGAATTATAGCAATTTATGATTTTAGGTTGCCAAAAACTTCATGCTCTTGTTGGAGCACATTGTCCATTTACTCCCTCGGATGAAAATCAATGTGCTGAGTATTTTTGGGACCCCAAGATTCATGGTGTAAGTTCTTCAATCTAGCCACTAAGAAAAACTATAAAAAAAAGGGATTGTATATAAAAATACCATTTACCGTTTTTAAGAGGCGGTCACAATCATTATTATTTTTTAGACTTCAAAATGGGTGGTTCTAAGAGTATCTTTGATTAGACATAAAGTTAAAAAAAAAAATCTCCTTGGTGGCTCACCCCAAGCTCTCTAATTTGATATTTAATGAGTGAGAATAGTTGCCACCTCCTTGTGTAAAAGGTAAAATAGTTTCATAGTACACAATCCCTAAAAACTAAACCCTTTTAATGTGTTCATCAAAACAAAAAAAAAAAATGACGACCCAAGATTGAATTGAGACCATCCCATTTTTGGAAGGTGATATTAGTTTAAAAAAGCTAAATCTAAATTTCCTTTTTGAAAATGATTATCGGGTGATGCCTATGTAGATTCCCACATTTCAGATGGAAAAAAATTATCCCAAGTAATTTTTAGCCGAAGGGAATACGTCTATAGTACACTCCTGTGGGAGCATGGTGTTTGCACCCCTTTAGGGTTTTTTTGAGTTTTAGTCTGTCTAAGGCTCTGTTGTCAATGATCCCCAATGAAAGCTATGTTTTCAGGGTAAATACGTTGTCATCTTCTTGACAGTAGACCAAAGTTGTCTTGATGCATGGTGGTCCTCGATTTATGGATTGTGTGGCGGTGGAAAGATTGTGGGATCCACCATCCTCATGGTCCACTCTCTCTTCGTCGTTATCAAAAGCCATTGGCCCCGAGGACTACGCTATATTTACAATTTGCCAAAAGATACTCCTTGGGAGTATACTATACTGTCCATTTACTCCCTCAGATAAAATCCTACGTCCCAAAATTTAGGGATAGGACCTCAATAAAAAACAATTCTTAATTACACCTTCTAAGCACTTGAAAAAATAATGTCTCGAGATTAAGTAGAAATTGTTCCATTTTTTTAGGGTGAGATCTAAGTGTTAAAAAGGTGATATTTCAATTTTTTTTTTTTTTCTTTAAAGAATAATCATCTAGCAATTCTTAGGTGGTTCCCAAAAATTCAGATTGAAAAAAAAAAAAAGGACCCAATTAGGTCTTTTGACTGAGGGAGTAGAAATCAATTATATGAGCCCTAACAATTTTCCGACTTTCAAATGAAATAAGGGCCATATGCTGTAATCCATACATCATTTCAATAGTATGATCATGGGGTTATCATGATTACACTAATGGGTTGGACAATGATGTTAGAAATTACCCATAATTTTCTTTTTGGTGTATAAATCCCCATAAAATTAGGATTAGGACAAATCTGGTTGGACCTACAATCCCAAAATCGCGTCCAACCCGTGATGGTAATGGCTTCCTAGGCCCATACTGTTGGAATGCTCACGCAAGGTTCGGCATACGTTCCGATCCAATAAAGAACGCAGGACTATAAGTTGTAAAATTTGTACTAAAAAATGGTATGCAATTAGAATGCAATCCCATACGTGCCGAAAATGAACTGTTCCGAAAATAATTGTGTCTCACATTGCCTGTGGTGGTTCTTTTATTGTATATATAATAATAAACTCTAATAGAGTCTTTGGAGGGTTTGCAAAGAAGGTTGAGAAATATAAAAGGAGAGAAAGTTGTTCTTCATTGACTAGTGAATGGTTGAAAAAGGGTATGTAAACGATTGCTAAATTAAACCAAAAAAAGGAAAATGCAATGGAAGGGAGAGTTTAGTGCTTCGAGAGTTTAGTGCAATAGAGATTTACCTTGGATAGAGGAACAACTAACATAGGAAGTTGAGATTGGAATCGATTATTGCTCTGATGCCATAAAAAATTTTAGAGAGAGAATGAACTTTTGAGACAATAATTGTGCTCCGTAATTGCTTATGGTCATTCTTTTATTGTATATATAATGGTGATACAATAATGGTATAATATACACTTTCTTATTTTGTTACATGCAATATATATTTTCCTACCTTATTATATTCTCCTCTAAAAAACAAAAAGGCAGTGTTTCTATTGTGACCATTCCAAAAACTTAGAATTTGTAAATTTGTTTCTATTATCTATGGAATATGAAACACCACTGCCGAAGCCCATGAACGCGTGATATGCCACATACTGATGTTGTACGTACACTTTCCCTTAGAAAACAAGAGGGGCTTATATTTTTCCATTAGCACAACATATTACCTTTGGATCCACATGCATGTTTGATTGCTTACGCAAAAAAGGGAATCATATTCTCGCTTCCCTGCCCCTCAAAACACCAATGCCGAAGGCTGTTAATTTTTAAAAATATAATTTATGTAATTATACATCGGTTAGGAGAAGTGATTTAATTCAAGTGGAAGACTGAAAATGACATAAATAGAAGTAAGGTTTAAAAAAACTGACTGGTGATCTGAATTGGGCATCCCAAAAATCGTGTCGGATCGGTGGATCATGTTTGGTTCACTCTGATACAACCCGTATTGACCCGCTCGGATCTCGATGTATTGAGATATTCGAATCAATATCGATAATTCTCGATTCAAATAGAAATAACTAAAAGAGATATTAGCTACTTACGATGCATGACCCATGATAGGTTTACGTAACAAATGAAATAAAGCTATTTGTGACGATGATGATATAAGAACCAACTTCCAACAATTATTGATGCAGTTTCATGGCTTAAACATGCATGATGGCTTGACTGAAGATCTTTGTTAGAAAAATCGGGCAATCTAACTGCTAACTATCTAGTTAGATCGGAATCGGGTTTTCGGCGGTTTTGGTGATCGACTGATATTTAACCAAAAAAAAATTCAAAAAAAAAAGTATATAAATTATCAAAAATAAGGAATTTGATTTGTAATACATTTTTTTAATATTCTTTACATTATGGTAAAGAGTAAAAATTGTTTTTTTCATTAATATTCACTTTAATTAAAAATTCGATTTGTTAAAATCTATTTTTTCATTAATTTTCAACTTCATTTGAATGTGTTTTGTTTTAACCATTCTTTATATGCTTTTCATATTTTGATATATATATTTTTTGTATCATTTTTATTTTTTCAACACTTTTTTACCGCCCAAAAGTTGCCCAATTAAAACAGTTAAATCGGCCAATTAAACCGCT